AAATTGAAACAATTAAAAATTTCAAAATCAACTTAAAATGATGATCTTATTTTAAGGACATGTGATGTAATTAACTAAATGATTTATGGCAATTGTCCCTTTCGTGTAATTAAGTCAAATGACATCATATTTAACCGTAATCTTAATTATATTATCAGAATAAGTTTATGAAGAGATTATTTAATTACAATCTGTTTATAAAATTTTAGGGTGAAAATTATTTAGTTTAGGATCTAAATCGGTATTAATCAATCTGTTATTATCTACAAATAAAATTTTAATTTTAAAAATAAAAATAAATGTAACAACAAATAGCCAATTTTAAGGGTCACGGTGAATGGCTAAGCGCATTTATCTTTTTAGTAATTGAATAACAAACTTCACACACAAACTATAAAAAGATTTTACCTTCTTCAACCTCCTTCAAGTTCTGTTCCAATTCCAGAAATTGTAAAAAATAATAATAATAATAATTTACAGTCTAAAACGATGAATCCCATCGCAAATAATGTTGCATTACTTTTATCTTTCTTCATTTGTCTTTCCTTCTTCCCTTCACTGAACGCTGCCCCTGACGTCTCCAAAATCTGCGAAAAGCTCCGCCACAAGGATCTTTGCATCTCCAGCTACCGGCAATCGTACATCGGCCGATACCTCCCCGACAACGCCAGGCCGGAGGTGATCGCGTCCATAATTATCAAAATCGTCGTTAATAACGCCTCGGACGTGTCTCGAAACCTCAAGACTACGGTGCTCGAAGGTCCTAAACCGTTGACGCCCGAGGTGAAGGCGAAATACGGAATATGCGACCACGAAGTCGTGTCCGCTATGAAGGAACTCGACAAGCTCCGCACGGCCATGGAAATCAAGAACCGCAATGCGGAGAAATACAACATGAAATCTGCCGTGGCTAATGTCGAGAAATGCGAGAAGGAATTGACGAGTGTGGAAGCGCAATTGCCGGACAAACAGCAGTTCGACGAAGTTCTCATTCTTAAAAGATGTTGGAAAATGTCGAAGATGTTGTTAAAAATCTCGGTTGAAATGAAGAGACGTTATCGGAGAACGAAAATCGATACTATTATTGTAAGATCACCTTGTTCAATATTAAATAAATTTGTACGTTGATTGAAAATTAATTGAAATAAAAGTATTTTTTTTATATAATCAAAGTACTGCATCGGACTCTTTTCGGTTTCATGTTCTTAATGGAGATGCGTAGCGTTGGTAGATAATTTCCTCGAGAGCATACCTCATATTCGGACGAGAACTATGAACCGATGCATTCCGATGGCCCCCTTTGTCGCCGCCGGAGTCTTGAAGTTGCTCGGGTGCTTTTGATACTGCATCAATATGCAGCTTTTAACGTCGCTCTATGCGTGTATTGGCCCTCGGTACGAGCACCAGTGACTCAGAAAATTGTGTTTTCTTGTAAGGTAATGCTTGCCCCAATCAACTAACTTATGTTTTCCGGACGGTCTGTTCTGATCCGATGCTCACTTGCCGGTTAGCGACTCGAGAAAAGGAACCCTTGAAACTATACACATCGCAGCCTGCAGTTAGGTGGCCTTCATAAGAACAAATTTTAGTTATAAAGCACCTATTGCAATGCACTCGGGAGCTGCATAGCCATAGGTGCCCATAACAAGGGCTGCGCATTTTGAATCGGATTGAATCCAAAAGAAAAATCGAATATCCTAGATTTTATATCGACAGAATAATGCTCTATATCTGAATTCGGAAAAATGAGATGTCCGATCTCTTAAACCCTCTAAGTTCAACATTTTAACGTCAACAACAAACTTTTTAATCAAACAAAGTAGTACCCTTTTGCGTGTTAAAGTTCATTCTTCTCATCATTTTTTGTTCGTCGAGAGTCGGGCCGGTACGGATATGCCTTCCACATAACCATGTTCAAACCCGTATAAGTTCTCCATATGTGTGGAAAATAATATCACCAATTTGTTTTACAATTTATTCTGATTGTAAATTTTAACTTATCTCCAGCTTTAATATTCGAGTAATATGATTCCAAAAAATTGAATAACTGAGATATTCATTTGCCCCCTCTAATTATACTCAAAAGTCAAGTGAACTTTCACTTTTAATTATGGATCAAATGGATTCTTATTTGAAAAATCACAATTAATTAAACCTCTCTAATTAGAGTCATCATTGATCAAGGTAGCATTTAACTGATTTTTTAGAACCATTAAAAATTTCGAGAAGAAAATCAATTGAGAACCTAAAAAGTATATTTTTAAGTATACACAATTTTAATGATTATAAATTTATTTACTAGTTGTTGTTAAAGAGGTTAATAAATTTTAAAATTTAAAAATAAAATTGTACTTGATGAGCATAAAATTTGTTTACTTTTGTTTAGATAACTATGTGTCGTTTCGCTATTTCTCACCTTTCTGGATATCTTCAATATTAACGGATGTGTGGTTTCCTCCTTTGCACCTACTTGCCTTCTCTATTTGACTTCGTCCGCTTCATACCATTCTATTATGGGTACTTCAACGTAGGGATGGCAAACGGACGGGTCATGTACGGATACCCCCTCCTCTATTCCTATATCCACCTAATATTTTCAAATCATCCACCCGTCCACCACCCATGATAAGTAAAAAAATTTAAATCCACACCCGCCCACGCAGGTATTTTCTTAAATCTATCCCCACACCTACTACCCAACTAGAGACGTACTCGACGAGACCCTCCCAATAGCAACCTTAAGTTATACATTCTCAAACCGTAAGTTATATTTTATACAATATTAAGATTTATAAATTATTCTCTAAAATTATATCTAAATTCATAATGATCCAAAATTTAATGAGTATTTAGGGACGGACGAATGTGAGACGAGCGGAAGTGAGGCCGTCAATACGAGGAGAGCATGTGTGGAGTGAATAAAGTCTCAAACTCATCACCCGCCCACTACCCGCGACGGGTACCACTTTTTAAATCCATACCCGCCTACTACCTACTAAAGTTATATCCATCCCTGCTCCAATTGAAGCGAATACGATACGAAATCCATGAAATTATACCCGTTTGACATCCCTACTTCGACGTCTTCTTCCGCCATTGCATGTGGGGTGCACGGCTAGCAGTGTTGCAAACCTATTTTTAGGATCAATAACATTTTTTTCATTTATTTGGAATAATTAATTACAATGTAATGTTTATTTAGATTTTTTTTAGTCAATTGATAATGAATACATCCACTCAAATCACCAATAACAAATGATACCAACTCAAGCTGGCACCCCCGTCGACTAGGTAGGTAGGATAGGACGTACAAACCTCATAATGGCCTAAACTAACCCATAGGCTCTATACTCTCCCAAAGCTCAGGTCATCGGGTCTGAGCCAACATTCCGATCTCGTATAACTACGAACTAGGACTCTCTACCTTAATCAAAAGAGGTGAACCACCATACATGACTACATCCATTATCCTCTAATGTTGCACCATCAATAATAATGTTGCACGAATTGCTTATACAAACCTTGTTATCCTAGAAATACACGACTGGACCAGACCGTCTGTGGAGACACATCAAGGGAAACACAGATCTCTTTTAATCTCAACTCTTTAACCAACTAATTTGAGTCGGAAAATTCAACGGCGAGGCGTCTGGATGCATAATATGGGAGAACGGTCTACGAATGATAATATAAAAGACAAGCTTAAACAGAACCGAGTGTTTCTGATATTAAAATATAACTCTTCCCACTCACCTAGCTTCTGCCGAGCTCGAGATGGTGCGGCGAACTTCTAACTACTAATCGCCCACACAGGCCAATTGGCCAAAACAATATCTGCCCAATTTGATGCCCTCCGCTGTCATCGGAACATTAAACAAAAAATCACCAAGGTTCTTGTTGCAGTTAGCAAACAAAAAGCAGGAACAAGAACAGTCCCAATAATGCTTGTTCGAATCTCAAATTTACTAGTACGGCATCATGCAACACAATTTCGAAGGCATACACTCGAAAAAGAATAGATGCTTGTTACGATAACATATAAGAATAACGCACTGAACATTTCACGCAAGATGTAAAAAGAAGCAGAGTTATTAAGGGGATCCAAAAGCGTCAACCTACCATGCGCATCAATGGCTTTTCCTTGGTGAAGCTCCTATCCGTTTGTCCAACAAACCTGGCCATCCTTTTCACTTCTTTCCCTTCCCGATAAAGAAGGTGATCTCCACGCGTGATCATCTATTCTGATGACACACAAATCAAATCCAGCCCAGCTGGCATTTGCTATATGCTGTTCACAACTTCAGATAGGAATCAGATCTAACATACATATTACCTTCAAGAAAGGGGGAAAACTCAAGTTAAGAACAAAATATGGTAAAAAGTAAGAACTTTCCAAGGATCCAGGACATCCACATCTTTTAAAACCAAAATGCAATCTCAGATTGATCCTCCCGAGATAGCACGGAAGTTTGCATTAGGGGGCAAAATGTTTTCAGTAACACCTAAGACATGAAAAAAATACATCTTCCTCATCAAAAGGGACATTAATAATATAGAAACATCATCAAACACTTTTGACTATAAAAGAAAGAAATTCCATCATATCATATGGTTCTGGAAATAAAGCATCTCATTCCACTATTTGACTTTTGGTTACACCAAGTTCTCGAGCAAGGACTGAAGCAGGATTCAAGGCACCATCCATATGAAAATGACTAAAGGACTAGTGAATCCGAGGCCAGGTAAACACGAGGCAATGCATCAGAATGAACATAAGAAAATCAGCTTTTATCAGCTAGTACTTTTGCGTAGTCCATTACTTCTCAGGCCTGAAAAACAATAGAACGAAAAGGAAGAAAAGAACCCGTTAATCGCCAGTACTAAATGAATCACAGCAGGGGTTAATCATGAACATAAGAAAATCAGCCTTAGCGGCTAGTACTTTTGCGATAGTTCCTCCCACAAAGGTGAGAGCTAGAAACGGATTTATCTCTGCGATCAGAAATTGAAAAATAAAATAGAATAAGATCCTCAACAGAAAGAATAAGGAAACTACTGAAATATCATATGAGCAACTAAATAAGCAAATGGCAACAATATGAAACAACACGTTCATTTTTTATTCCACGGAAGGTTTATGAAGTTAACCAAATAACAACATATATATGGCAATCGAAAGCAAGTGACCAAAATTATTAAAAGTTCTATTTCAAGAATAGCTCATGAGTCTTAAACATCGTGATTTGACAGTTGAAGCATAAATCAAAGAGAAATAACTTAAGCAGGTCATAAGCTGTCACTTGATTGACGGGATTAAATCAAGCATCTAGAAATAAAACAAAGAAATCAGTCATTGACATATAACATGAGAGAACTTATATGATGCATATCACATTGTTCTTATTTCACATCCTGATATATTCGCTTTGTCCATATGACTGTATTTTGCACCAAATTAATTCGCCATGAACATCAGTGTCATTAATCAATTATCTACCAAATTAATTTGCCTCATTCAAAAATAACACCAATTAATTACCATACCACTTTAATCCCATCATTAATTTTTCCCTTTCAAACAATAGCACTACAATTATGGCTAATTTTACTTAACAAATATCAGTTAGTTTCATACCCCATAAAGGATGCATCTTGATTCACACGAAGAGGAACGCCATCAGGAAGATTGACTATTGGGTCTGAAAGACAAGTCCGACCACAAATCCAACAATCCATGCAAGAGTTGGGCGTGTAGTTTACTAGTTCACTCGTTGTACCGAACATAAAGTCAGGACCAATTCAGCTTGCCTATAATAAATATGTTAGGTTGCACACTTTAATCCTATTTGACTATCACATCAGAACAATTACAGTTTTGTTAGATTCCATACTTTAATCATATTTGACCAGCTTACTACACGTTTAAAGCAACTGGCAAACCATTCAAGAGAGAGAACTTGACCATGAACGACAATGCAGATCTACAAAGAACTTATTGAAGAGAATTTAACATATAATAAGTTGGATGAATTCTTACATCTACAGAACTTGGTATCTGCCAGGTTGAGTCCCGCCAGGAAGTTGTAAGGACTGGTGTGAGATGTCTTCCAGGACACGTTTCAGTTCTGCCTTAGCTCTCTTAACAGATACCTCGGAAGGTCCCTCAATGAACAAGTAAAGCTTTCGTTCTCCTGGTCCTGGGATCCGACCAGGTGGGAAATACTGGCCCCTTGTTGTAATGGCAGCTCCAGTCCATTCCGATATTGGGCCCAATGTTTCCTTGTGGGTAACCTTCCATCGAGCATTTTGGGGAAATTCATTAATCTCCAACTCGGCTTCATAATGTTCAGGCATAACATCAGCTTGAATCTTCGCTAAGTTATGCTGTAAATTGAAAGCAGCTTGCAGTGCAGCTTTTCGAGCGGCCTCTTCATTTGGAAGACCAGGCAATCCACTACCAGGACCAACTGCTGCAGTGCCGGATATTGACACACCAAGTACACCAGGAAGAGAAATAGGCAATGTAGCATTGGGAAGCAGTTGAGCAGAAGATAGAGGATTCTGCATCAACCCAGTACTAGCTTTGGAGGCAGCAGCCATGGCAGCTATCTGAGCAAGTGCTGTCTGTTGTGATATGTCACCACCTGCCTTCCGCACCCCCTCATCTTCGTCTTCTGAATCTGACTTGTCTTCCTCAAACCCGTATTCTTTTGCTTGAGCTTTCTTTGCTGCTTTTCTCTTTTCATCTTCCTCTTCATTGAATTTAAAACCACTTCCACCATAACCTGTTCCATGGGCCTGCTCAAGTCCCTGATTTACTTTAGCCATAAAGCCATCAGCAAGAGCTTTCAGGTCATCAGGAACAACTTGCTCAGAGAGTTCTAAAGCTTTTACAAGATCTGGTGCATATCTTGCATCATCCTCAGAGATAAATGTGATAGCACAGCCTTTCCGCCCAGCTCTACCAGTCCTACCAACACGGTGAACATAATCTTCATAATGATTTGGAACATCAAAATTAATCACTAATTCGAGCTCCTTTACATCTAAACCCCTAGCTGCAACACTTGTTGCAATCAACAAATTGCAGACGTTGCTCTTAAAATCAGAAATGGTGGATTCCCGATCAGTCTGATCCTTGGCCCCATGAAGTGACAGGCAAGGATAACCATGTTTGAGCAAATCCCTGAACAAAGCATCACACTTTTCTTGGGTGTGGACAAAAATCAGAATTTTCCCCTTCTCATACCATTCACCAAGAAGTTCTAACAATCTTAGGAACCTTTCACTTTCTGGCCTCATCTCGACCAACTGTGTTATGTCCTTGTTCACAACACTTCTCCCACCTACCTGTATTTCAACAGGTTTATTCAACACTTTACGAGCCAAAATCTCAACCTGCCGAGGGAAAGTGGCAGAAAATAGCACAGTTTGGCGATCAGGTCGAATATTTTGAACAATTCGAGTAATTTGAGGTTCAAAACCCATATCAAACATTCTGTCAGCTTCATCCAGAACAAAGTATGTCACTCTACGCAGATTGCTAATTTTTCCCCCGCTGGTACAAAGTATATCAATCATCCTACCTGGAGTACATACAACAATCTCTGTTCCCCGCTTTAATTCACTAATCTGCTGGGCAACACCAGAGCCTCCATATACAGGAACACATCTGATTCCCAATGCCTTGGTAAACTTCTTTATGTCACTGTGAATTTGCTGGACAAGCTCCCTTGTAGGTGCCATAATGAGTCCAATAGGTCCATCTCCAGCTACTACAGGTGGCTGATCTTTAATATGCCTTAACATAGGTAGCACAAAAGCAAGGGTTTTACCAGAGCCGGTTTTTGCTACGCCAATGCAGTCTCGACCACTCATAATTATGGGCAACGCCTGAGCTTGAATTGGCATTGGCTTCTCATAATTAAGCTTCCTTATTGTTTCTAATATTTTACTTGCGAGTCCAGTTTGATGCCAGGTTTTGATTGGTTTCGGCACATCCTTTCCATGTATCTTCAGTTCCAATTCCTTCCTGCAAGCAGTCACTTCCTCAGGTGTCATTCTAGAGATCTCCTTAACTTCAATGTAGAAATTTTTCCTGAAAGGCTTATAATCAATCTTTGTGTGGTCAACAATTGATAGTTTCTCAGCTTTTGTCTTCTTTACCCTTTTCATAAACTCATCATCATCTTCATCTTCTAAATTATCTTCGACATTCTCAATATCCCCGTAATCTGAATCCGAATCTTCCCCAGGAATGATTCTCCCAAGTGCCTTGTTCGAGCCTTTCTTTGGCTGCAGCAGTCCACCATTACTCAAGCCATCCTTTTTTTCATTCTTCAAATTCCCATTATTACCACTAGGAGGAGAATCAGTAACTGCTGTACTTAGCTTCTCAACTTCAGGTAACACCATTGAATTCATAAAAGCATCTAATGGATCGATTTCGTCTTCATCCACAGCAACCTCATTACCCCCATTTTGGTCAACAACCATTTTATCTTTTCCATCCTCAGAATTCCCATCTTCAATCATAGCATCTCCAATTTCCTTACCATCTGGCTTAGAATTTTCGTTATCATCCACATCCATATCTGTCTCCGGTTTCATCGGTGATCCGGCTTCATCGTCATCCGATTCCCCTTCGAGAGTCCAAGCCTTACCAACCTTAGGCTCCTCCTCCTCCACAGCATTCCCTTCCCCACGTTTTTCCCTCTCTGCCTCTTCCTTCTTCCTCCTCAACTCTTGCCATTCTTGAACCCTCCTCCTCCTTTTCTCCATCTCCTCATCCAATTTACTTTGTTCGTCTTCCATCTCCTCCTCCCTACTTTTCTTCCCCTTCTTCTCCGACTCTTCTTTGCTGCTCTTTTTCCTAACTGGGCTTTCTCCTCTGTTTGATTTGCTCTCCCTCTCCTTATAATTAGCCTCATCGTCATCATCCTGCTCCCTCCTTCGACGCTTCCTATGTCGTTCTTTATCTTCCTTACTATCATCACTGTCATGCTCCCTTCGCTTCTCCCTTTCCCTTAACTTCCTTTCTCTTTCTCTTTCCCTCTCCCTTTGTTTCTCCCTTTCCCTTTCTCTCTTCTCCCTTTCTCTTTCCCTTTCCCTTTCCTTCTCCCTAGCTCTTTCCCTCTCCTTCTCTTTCTCCCGTTCCCTGTCTTTCCTTTCCCTCCCTCTTTCACGGTGTTTTTCTTTCTCCTTCTCCTTCTCTCTATCGGAATCACTGCTCTTCTCTCTCTCAGAGCGGCGCCGTTCTCGATTCTTTTCTTTTTCCCTCTCTTTTTCTCTATCGGAATCACTGCTCTTCTCCCTCTCAGAAAGACGCCGTTCTCGTTGCTTTTCCTTGTCCCTTTCCTTTTCTCTATCGGAATCACTGCTCTTATCCCTCTCGGAACGACGCCGTTCACGATGCTTTTCTCTGTCCCTTTCCTTTTCTCTATCGGAATCGCCGCTCTTCTCCCTCTCGGAACGACGCCGTTCCTTATCCCTATCCCTATCTCTCCTCTCACGGTACCTCTTTTTTTCTGAATCTTCCATTGCCCAGAAAACCCGAAAAATAAAATCAACTCCTCGGGCTATAAACAGAACCAACATAAAAAATTAGGGATTGCAAATAAACGGAGCAAATCGCATAATTAATGCTATGAAATAAAATAAAAAGAAATTAGAAACAAAAAATTATGAACATTTTGATCTGGACTCACCACTTAGTTTCTGCAATGCGCGAACACGATTCCCCTCTCCTTGCTCTCTCTGCTTTATGCTTAAGGGGAAATTGATTTCGTGTTTTCCTCTTTTTAAAACATTTTTTATTTTTTATTTTTTATTTTAGGGTAAAGTATAGTAATGATCACTAAACTTTTCTAATGCTTTAATTTAGGTCCTCAAACTTTTAAAACTTACAATACAGTCCTTCAACATTTAGTCCGTTTTCAATATGGTCCCCGACGTAACTGATCGTTTGACACCATTACACTATCGTTAGTACATTTGCAATATGGTCACTGAATTTTTCAGGCGCTTGCATTTAGGTCCCCCAAGTTTTAAAACTTGCAACACAATCCTCAATTTCCAAAACATGTAAAAAATTCCAATTCGCTCACGATATATCAGTCCCATAATCAACATGAACTTATTAAAAAGAATACGAGCTCACAGGACACCGAAAACCATAGGTCGAATCAATACAATTCCAGTAAACTAGTACCAGCAGTCTCTCGGATTAAGCCTGGTGATTTCACTATGTCGATACTCACAGTCAATTCCCTGATTTAAAGAAAAACCAAATAAGAAGATAAAAAAATTAGCCTAGGACCCTCTTTCACTTCTATTCTGATGGACTGAGTATCTTTCTTAAGGAGTACTAAAAGTTTTTATAAAGAAGAAATAAAGAAAAATAGACGGTTTTGGTTTAAAACTAACACTGAATATCCAGATCATTGACATGCAATTCTAGAAACATAAAAATTTCAACAAAAAACACACAATGCGAGCTGAAAATGGGAAAGTGCGAAAGAGGAAAAGCTTACTTCCAGATAGCCCAAAAGAAAAAAATAAATATTGATGTAAGGCTCTTCTGATGCCTTAAACAATTGATTGTGGATCTAGGAAGGAAGCAAACAACCTGCACAAGTGAATGGCTCAAAAAGATATGGTTAAGGGTGGTAAACGTATGGTGAATGGGTGGGCTGTTTAAAATGAGAGATGGAAGCGGAAGATGGTTGATAAGGCTATGGTTATGGTGATGAAACAAAGGGGTTGGAAGTGAGGATAGTATCTTGAAGAAGTCTCAAAGAAGAACCAATGCTATAGAGAGCAAAGACCCATACTTTATATTGCTTCTACAAGGGGTGGTGTTAAGTACTTTGACCCACTAGTTATATGAACTATGAACCAGAAGTATCAAGATGAAAAGGAAGGGGTTGACGCCACAAGTATAAAATACTTGATAAGTCGATAAAAGTCACCAGGACTTAAGGAAGAGAATAATCTCACTTATATTAATCAAAATGGTCTGATTACAAATGAAATATAATGGTCTATTTATAGTTTTTGAAGGGACTTGGCCGAATAGGTACATGTTGGTTCGACCAGCCCTTGTACCTTCCTAAAATGACATGATTTTTAATGAAAAAATAAGACTTTAATGAAAATACATGCTCTTGGCCGAATGGTTATGTGTTGGTTCGGCCCTAAGGATGATTTAAATGCATTTGGAAGTTATTTGGGCGCCAAAATGAAGAGGAAAGAGTCTTTGGCCGAATAGGAAGCATCCCTTGGTGTTTTGGCGCCAATTTGATGTCACATGAAGTGCACATGCTTGAATGATGCAATGGCAGCCTACATGAATGCACATGGGTCTTCTTGCTATGCTTTGATGAGGTTGCAACCATAGGATGATGTCTTGAAGTCCATGGAATGAAGATAGGCAACAACTAGGCGTGAATTAGCTTCCAACGTGTATCTAGATGACATGGCATCCATTGGGTAGCCTAGAGATGAACTAGCTTCAAGGTAAGCTAGATGAGTATCTTGGTAGCTAACTAGGTGAGTTATAGCTTGATAAACTCAAGCTAGTTAGCTTTGGTCTTCTCAGCTACTCTCTTGGCTACTTCCAGCTACATTTAGTCCACTTTTTAGCACTTTAGTCCAAAGCTCTCCTTCAGCTAAGTTCAGCTACATGCTAGCTCCTCTAGCTAAGTTGAGCTTTCCTTAGTGTTCCACGAGCTGCCATGATATTTGTGAGTTGTTTGTGAGCTGCATATGACGTCCAAATACTCTACCAAGTTGCCTCATCGTGCATCACACTCCAATGTACCTATATGTGCAAGGAAACAAGGTAAGTCCATGATATTAAGATGTTATGAGCTAAATACCTTGCTTCCATGTATGATTATGGTGATGTGAGCTATGTTTGAAGGTCATGAGCTAATTATATCATCTCAAAATATGTGTAAGATAATGCATGAAGCTTAAGAGCTAATATGAATGCATATGAACTAATGAAATGATTTATAATGATGTTGCCTTGATGTATATATGATAATAATGTTTAATATGATCATAAGACTATCCTAACATGCTTATAACATTGTATATCAATCATAAAGATATGGGTATATGTTGTATGCATGAATATCATATAACATGGTATTCATAAATGATAAATGGAAACATGTAATAATAATATCCTAAGAAATGATATGTAATCATAGCATATATTTGAATAATATGAAAAACATGATCAAATAAGCATAGGATGGAAATAATAATATGATAATTTATACTAACATGTGAATGCATGCTTATGATAGAATAGAATGTATAAATGATATAGTATAAGATAGGATAATGAAGAACTCCCTTAGAAACAACTTTGAAGAACATCCATGGTGTGTTCAAGTCATGGAGAAAGTTGGAGCTAGTTTGGATCGTATCATCCTCCCCTTCTTTTAGGCGATTTGTCCTCAAATAGAAATAATTTCTCATTGAAGACTTTCTTGATGTAGAAAGGATTGAATCCTTATGTTTTCCTCCAATAGATGATTCACACGATATGTTCAACCTCTTGGCTTCAAATCTGGTAACTTCACATCCTTTAATGGGAGGACACAATGTTTGGGAACCATCACATGTCATTTGAACAGGAGAGACAAATCCCTTCACGAACCAACTTGATCATTTTTCTTTATTCTTTGAATCATCAAAATGCTTGGAAAGGACCTCTATATCTTTATTTACTCCTTTTAATTCACCATAATTGTTGGTGAAAAGGTTTGTCTCTTGGTTGGAGTCATCACGTCGCTTGGTGAAGATAAGTGTTCTTTGAATGACTTTTTGGGGCTGATTTAAATCATCGTGTCCTTTCACCATTGTACCTCTCCAAATGATTGCCTTGAGGGTTGGTATGAGTTCTTCACCATAAGGATGAAACAAGCTACTGCAAAATAAATTAAAGTTAGTAAATGAAAAATTATTAACAAGATGAATGGAAATAGCAAACCAGGGTGGATGTTTAATGGGCATTGGTTGCTTAATGATGAAAAAATCCATTGGTTGCTGAATTCAATTCAATATGTGCAATGTACTTGGAGTCTGAATGATCTCAACTCTTGGTACTTCAATTGGCTCATTCTTTTGAATTTCAATAGGTACGTCATTTGAAATGTCAAAGGACATATCTTGTGGATCACCAAAAGTCACGTCTATTGATTCTTTAAAAGACATGTTTCTTGAATCTTCAAGTTGAAGTGACATGTCTATTGGATTGTCTTGCACGTCAAAAGAAAGAATAGGAGTAGGATTAGATAAAATATGTTCTTCACCCTCATTTTCCTTTTCCTCTTTGCTCCCATATTCAATCATTTCATTTTGTTCATTTTCAACTCTCTCCACTCTTTTCTCATGCAAAAATTCTCTTTCAACTTTCTTCATGTCTTTAGCTTTCTCCCATTCCTATATACGTGATTTGAGGGTAATCTGACATTCTTGGACTTGATTTGGAAGCATAGGCACCAATATGATTTTCTTTCCTTGATGTTGGAAAGAGTACTTGTTAGAAAATCCATCATGGGTAGCCTTCTTGTCAAACTGCCAAGGACGTCCTAATATAATGTGGCTTGCACTCATGGGCACCACGTCACAAAGGACTTCATCATTGTATCTTCCAATTGAAAAAGGAACAATAACTTGTTTGGTTACCTTGGCTTTCCCCACATCATTGAGCCACTGAAGTTTGTAAGGATGAGGATGCTTGGAAGTCGTTAGACCCAACGTTTCCACCATTTGAGTACTTGCTATGTTTGTACAACTTGCCCCATCAATGATCACCACACAAACTTTATCTCCCACGTGACATTTTGTATGGAAGATATTTTGTCTCTGTTCATCTTCTTGACTTTGAATGTTCAAAGTCCTTTTGACTACAAAGATGTTGGATGGAAGAGACATGTTAGCAAATAAGGAAAAACGAAATGTGTGTAGAACCTTACCAGAATATACTCTCACAAAGTCTCACGAGTCACTCCAAGGAAAACTTGAATGTCACTCAATCCACTCGTGTTTGCACTCTAGGACTTTAATGGCTTTTACTTGTCCTCTTCTGATCTCACACACTCTCAAGCCTTTTTCCTCTTGATTCTCTTGTCTCAAGTTCTAGAGAACTTTACTCAAGATTGTATCAAATAAATTTCTACTTGTTTGGCATCGGTTGCAAAAAGGTTAGTAGGAATGGAAAGTAAAATATAATTGAAATGGTGGCTTAGAAAATAGAAAGAAGAGAACAAAAGGGGTTACTTACACAAGTCACTTCACAACCTTCTATCACCATAATCAATTTTAAAGGCTTACTTGAATGGCTTGGTGATGAGAATTGTTGATGAGTGCTTCAACTTTTTTTCTTTCTTTTCTTTGTTCTTCTTCTTTTTGAGTGCTGGAAATTTCTTCTTTTGGAGTGCTTCAATTTGTTTTCTGATTTTTCTTGATTTCTTTGACTTTGCACTTCACTTCCACTTCTTTTTTTTGTATTTTCTTTTTGTTGTTGTTGCACGTTACTTTCTTCCACCAAAGCTCTGATTACCACTTGATGTAAGGCTCTTCTGATGCCTTAAATAATTGATTGTGGATCTAGGAAGGAAGCAAACAACCTGCACAAGTGAATGGCTCAAAAAGAGATGGTTAAGGGTGGTAAACGTATGGTGAATGGGTGGGCTGTTTAAAATGAGAGATGGAAGCGGAAGATGGTTGATAAGGTTATGGTTATGGCGATGAAACAAAGGGGTTGG